TGGTAATTCAAGGGATTGCGAGTCTGGATTTTCTTTCATAACTTTTTAAAAAGAATTCTTCATGTCAGAGTCTCCCATGTAAACTAACTAAATTGTATGCATAAATCTAAATTTAAATGCTCACTGGCAGGGAACTTTTATATAATTCTACTTATGTTGATGACGTGGGCTTTGGCAATCTCTTTTCTCTGTGTATTCTGTGAAGCAGTTAAAAAGGCAATTATAGGGAGGCCTGGCTGGCTCAGTCGGTAGAGCATGTGACTCTCGATTCAAGGCACGAGTTCAAGCCCCACGTTGGGTGTGGAGCCTTCTTTAAAAACAGAAAAGTCAATTATGAATTGAAATATTCAAATTCCTAGCATTAGGACACTTAATATTTAACTTAGAAGCTAGGATTTCACTTCACACAAAACCCTTCAAATGATTAATTTTTGAAAAAATACTTTATTTATTTACCCTATGGATTGACACTAAGAATTTAAAATAGCTTTACTCTAAATGCAAGAATTCTCAAAAGCTAAAAATCTCAGCTCTAGCATAGTAGAATCTGCTGAGTCAATTGTAGTTTCTGTACTTCTGTCATTGATACACTTCACAGAAAAAAAAAACAAAAACAACACAGTATAAGCAGTAGCCCCTAGGTAGAGGAGATATGAGAGCAAGGAGAATCTCACACGAAGGTGAAAAAAATAATTCTTTTGGACTGCCATCAACAGGTGTATTGGATTCTTTAATTTTTTTTTTATGTCTTTATTTTGAGAGACAGAGAGCGAGCAGGGGATTGGCAGAGAGAGAGGGAGACACAGAATCTGAAATAGGCTCCAGGCTCTGAGCTGTCAGCACAGAGCCTGATGTCGGGCTCGAACCCACAAACCATAAGATCATGACCTGAGCTGAAGTCGGACACTCAACCAACTGAGCCACCCAGGCACCCTGGATTCTTTAAAGACAACTTTTGAAGAAGTTAAGGAAAGATCTTTTTTTCTTAAGATTAAGGAAAGGCTTTTTCCCCCGAGTAAAAAGATCACAAGTTCTTTTTTTGTTTTTACAAAGGGGAGCACTTGGCATAATGTGTCTGTTGAAATTACTGGTGGAATTGTGCATCGATCCCCTGTTATCTCTGAGAGGATTTTTTATCTCTGCGATTATTTAGACAGTGCTAATTCTTGGGAAAATCTCTGCTTGCTGTGTTTCATTGGTCATGCTTAAGAACTGTGCGATAGTTAATTTTATGTGCCAGTTTGACTGGGCTAAGGGAAGCCCAGATAAGCTGTTAAAACATTGTTTCTGGGTGTGTCTGTGTGGTTGTTTCTAGAGGAGATTAACATTTGAATCAGTAGACTGAGTAAAGAAAATCCCCCTCACCAATGTGGGCTGGCATCATCCATCTGCTGAGGGCCTGACGGGAACAAAATGGCAGAGGAAGGGGAAATTTGCTTTCTCCCTCGGCTGAGAGAGCCATCTCAGCCCTTAGACTTTGGCAGCCCTGGTTCGTAGAGCCTTTGCCTCTGGACTGGAATCACCAGCCTTCTGGGTCTCCAGCTTGCAGACGGCAGCTTGTGGGACTCCTCAGCCCGAGAGCCGATCCTTCATGATAAATCTCTTTCTATGTATCTCTGTATGTATTCTATTAGCTCTGTTTCTCTGGAGAATCCTAATACAGACTGTGAGAGGCAACCCAGGATAAGAGGAGGCACACTTGGTTCCGCCTTGACACATCCCAGCCATTCTAGGGGAGTCTTAGGATTGCAGCCTTAGAAATTCAAGTTTATCTGTTCACCAGGGGGCTAACAGGTGTGTAAGGCTTGATTCTTCATAAGCAAGTATAAGGAGGATTTGGTTTTTGAACTGCAACACTCAATGACCATCCATCTTGGGTTGCGTCTTACTGAAGAATCAGAGCCAATTCTGTGCGATGGTTACTCCCTTTTCTGGTGGGTGTTTCTCAAGAAGTGCCAGATCAGAATTATTTAGTGAATATGTAACTGAAACAGACAAAAAAGATACAGTTCAGGGATTCCTAAATAAAAATGTAAACTACTATTTCAAGAATCTTTCTGTTTAAATGGTTGAGACCATATTTATGGTATGATGTGGAGGGATACTGAAAAGTTCCATTTCTGCCAAACTCATGATAACGTCACCTGTCTTTGTGCTTGTTTTAGCCTATTTTATTTTATTTTATTTTATTTTATTTTATTTTATTTTACCAGTGTTTCCAATTGATGTTACAATGGCCAGTTTACCAAATGTGTCAGAGGGAGCAAAAGCACCTAACCTGAATCTAATCATGAGAAAACACCAGATAACCTGACAATTAGAGACATTTTACAAAATAGCTGACCTGGACTCTTCAGAAATATCAGCACCATGATGTGCAGCAGAGAGAAAGAGGGACGGACTCAGGAACAGTTGCAGATTTAAAAAGACTAAAGACATGGCAATCGAATGCAAATCATGATCTTGAAATTTCTTTTGCAATAAAGGACCTTATGGAAACAATTGGTGAAAGCTGAATAAGGCCTATATATTATGGCCTAACCCTGCTAAACATGAATCAATGTGAAAATGCCAACTTTGAACATTGTACTGTGGCCATGTAATAAAATTCCTTCATTTTAGGAAATGCACTGAAGTATTGAGGGGTTCTTGTGTCTGCAGCTTAGTCTTAAACAGATGAGGAAAAAAAATATTGAGAGAAAGCAAGAGAACAGGGTAAAGTCAATGTAGTAAGATAGTAACATTTGGAAAATTCAGCCAAATTCTTCCTGCCACTCTTGCAACTTTTATTTAGGTCTGAAACTCTGTCAAATAATTTTTTAATTAATGGGAGACTTCAGAGTTTCCAAATTGTTAAAAATAAGTTCAACTAGAAGTACAAGATTTATTGTGTAATTAAAAAAAAAATAGAGGCAGCATAGCGAGGTGGCTAAGAAGGTGATGTGGAGAAAAGTGTCCTGATTCGAATCTTTGCTCTGTCACTTACAATACTGTGATTTTGGGTAAGTTATTTAAGTTCTGAGTTTTCCTGTCTGTTAAACAGTGATAATAATAATGGAACCTACCTGACAAGATTCATATAAAAAACAAACTAGTAAATATTTGCAAGGGCCTTCATGGAGCCCCTGACCCAAAGTACTGTGCAGGTGTTTGTTAAATGAATGCATTTAGAAATAGCACATTAGCCTTCATGGTACAAACTCACCTTTAAGGATACCAGTATATATTTTTTTAACTTTAAAAGCTTTAAAATTTAAAAAAGCTTTTCCAGAAACAGCTGATTTGGATTCTTATTATCTCTTCCTGAACCAGTGTCAGATTCCTGTCATGTCCTTTGATAATCTCTTATACAAATTTTCGGTCTGCTTCATTATTAGGAATCTGTAAAGTCTGCTTACAAAAATATTTAATACAGTTCACTCATTTTCACTATTATTTTCAATTATCCACTTTACTTATCTAACAACTAAGTCAAATGCTACAAGAGGCATAAAGATGGATCCTATTTCTTTCTGTTTTTTAAGTTTTTATTTAGTTATTTTGAGACGAAGACAGAGAACCAGCAGGGGAGGGACAGAGAGAGAGAGAGAGAGAGAGAGAGAGAGAGAGAGAGAGGGAATCCCAAGCAGGCTCCATGCTGTCAACACAGAGCCCAATGCAGGGCTCAAACTCAGCAACTGTGAGATCATGACCTGAGCTGCAGACAAGAGTCAGACGCTAACTGACTGAACCACTCAGGTGCCCCAAATGGATTACTTTTATGAGCTCGAGGACTGTATGAAAGGGACATTAAGTGCTAGATGGTTTACAAGGCGGAAAGATTATATCTAGTTTGAAGGAGCAGGAAAGGTTTCATAGAGGAAAACCTTCACTTTATGAGCCTGAAGAAAGCATAAAGCTTACATAGGCAACATGGCTGAGGGCGGGTATTCTCCGTAAAGGGATGAGCAAAAGCAGAGCACGGCAACTGGGATCAGCAAGTGGTACCTGGGGGAGATCGTCTGAAGTTTTGTGTTTTTTTTAACAAATAGTTTATTGTCAAGTTGGTTTCCATATAACACCCAGTGCTCATCCCCACAAGCGCCCTCCTGCATGCCCATGGAAATCATCTGAAGTTTAAATAGATTTAGAATTTAAATTTTAAACCACTGTAAGCCTTAGTTTTCTTATCCATAATTTTACAGAGTAGATGATAGATAAATATAATGAACGTGATTGACAGTAAATGCTGATTTAATGTTATTATTTTGGGCGCCCAGTTATTGGAGATGAGCTGTATGTCAGGAAATAGGTACATAGGATATATTGGGTTAACACTGAATGGTGGGAATGAGCGTGCAAAGAAGACGAAGTGAAAGTTGAGACAAGTTATGAAGGTATAATCTGTGACTTTGGGACCAACCAAAGGGAAGAAATTAAAGACGGAAAACCGAGATGAAGTCAAGGTTTCAACTTGGCTGTTGGAAGAGTAGAAGTGTCCTAACAGGGCCACCAGCTACCTTGTCAAGGGCCAGAAACTCATAACCTCATCCCTCATGATCGCTGGACAATGGGCTAGTACTTTATTCATGTCATCACATATTTGAAAAATATCCTTTTCATAGGTCCCTACTTTGAGTATATGAGAGCACACACCATTTACATATTCTAGGATGAATCGTTTTGTAATACTGCAAAATCTTTTTAAAAAAATTTTTTAAATGTTTATTTTTGAGAGAGAGAGAGAATGTGAGCAGAAGAGGGGCAGAGAGAGGAAGATACAGAATCTGAAGCAGGCTCTAGGCTGAGTTTCAGCATAGAGCCCAATGCGGGGCTTGAACTCACAAACCGTGAAATCATGTGCTGAAGTTGGACGCTTAACCAATGCCCCCAAAATATTTTTTTTTTCAACTATGGATTTATTTGAACTCGCTCTGTGTATATATAAATATGTATACATACATACATACATACATAAATGTATATAAATAGATAGATAGATAGATGCTGTGGTTCACAGCATGCCTTCGGCCTCGGGGAATGACATACTCGTGGCACAGACTGCGGCAGGGACCCCGGGCACAGCGGGCAAGGAGGGAGCTCCGGGCCACGCCGCTGCGTCAGCGCCACCCCCCCCTCCACCCGGGCCGGAGCCCCCCTCGGACCTGGATGAGGAGCACTTCCGAGACCCAGCGGAGGTTCTAGGCACAGGGGCTGACGTGGATTATCTGGAGCAGTTCGGGAGTTCTTCGTTTAAGGAGTCAGCCCTGAGGAAACAGTCCTTGTACCTCAAGTTTGACCCACTCCTGAAGGATAGCCCTCAGAGACCTGTGCCCATGGCCCCGGACACCAGCAGCGCACAGGACGTGGCCCCGCCGTCCTCAGGAAGCCCACCGGAGGCGAAGCTGCTGGAGCTGGACTTCCTGGGAGGCCTGGGCGCTCCCGTGCTGGACGCCACTCCATGTGTCTTCCGGCCTGGGAGTCCCCTGCTTCCCATGGGGCCAATCGTGGACTCCATCGTGGAGGTGCCTCAGTATAGCCAGAAGGACCTGGACACCGCGGTAGAAGCAGCACGACAGGAGAACGTGTTGCTGAGGAGCAGGTGTGAGACGCTCCACGCAAAGAACCTGGAGATGGGGAAGATAATGGACGGGTTCGAGGGGATCGTGTACCAGGCGATGGAGGAGGCTCAGAAACAGAAAGAGCTCGCAAAAGCTGAAATCCAGAAGATTCTGAAGGAAAAAGACCAGCTGACTGCAGACCTGAGCTCCATGGAAAAGTCTTTCTCTGACCTGTTTAAGCGATTCGAGAAACAGAAGGAGGTGATCGAGGGGTACCGCACGAATGAAGAGTCGCTGAAGAAGTGTGTGGAGGATTACATCGCGAGAATTGAAAAGGAAGGCCAGAGGTACCAGGCCCTGAAGGCCCACGCGGAGGAGAAGCTCCAGCTGTGAGTACTGAGGGGGGTGGGCAGTGGGGCTGGGTGAAGAAAAGTCTAGCAATCCTGGGGAGGGAGGCCCCCAACACCCCCATCCTGGACCATCTCAGCCCCGCCCTTTGCGTCTCCAGTGCCAACGAGGAGATCGCCCAGGTGCGCAGCAAGGCCCAGGCAGAGGCCCTGGCCTTCCAGGCCAGCCTGAGGAAGGAGCAGATGCGCATCCAGTCCCTGGAGAAGGCCGTTGAGCAAAAGACTAAGGAAAACGAAGAACTGACCCGAATCTGTGATGACCTCATCTCCAAGATGGAGAAGATCTGACAAGGAGGCCCCTCTCCAGCACCCCGCCCTGTCTGTCTGTCTGTCTGTCTGTCTGAAAGGTTTCATGTTCTTTCTTTTTTTCTTAACCTTAGCTCATTTTTAAACTAGATCACTTTAACAAGAAGACTAAATAAAGTTTCCTTTCGGTTCAAAAAAAAAAAAAATGCCCACTGAATGGGCAGTTCATTGAGTACCCGCTCTTTAAAGGTACAGTCATCCGAATGACTTAGTTGACTTTAATTAAAGGTTTCCTATTCATTTTCTGGAAAGTAGCTGCAAGGAGAGAGCTATTCTTGGGGCATTAGTCTGCATCCTACCCCTCTACCTGAAACCTTATTGGAACTTTGGAAATGGGGGGCAGTGGCTTCACCCTATATCTTTCTCTGCCTTTATTGGGAGCACCTGGAGCCCACTAGGACCGTGATGACCATGACACTGACTGATATTGCTCCTGAATAAATCGTCTTGGTCATAATGACTAGAGGTTTAGATCCTCTGGTTTAATCTAAATTGCACCTTCTGATTGGATTAGATATTATTCTTTCGTTACTTTTACAGAAGGTATAAAGAACTATAAATTTTTGGGAAATTTAAACAGTATATCTGCATAGTGTTTTAAAAGTGCAGGAAATACATTCATGTGTTATTTTGCAACAGCTCTGTGAAATAGCCAGGGCCAAGATGATAAATTCTAAAGAGGAAGAAGTAGAGGAACACTTACTTCAAGACAGGCAATATTTAGTGCTCTTTCTTCTCCATCTTGCTACCTTGCTGAACCCATTCCACGCTGGTTTTCTCCTATTGCTGAGTTCCTCAGCTGATGTACCCTTCCCTTCCACCTCCAGGCAGTTCACAGCCGAGGAACTGAGTCTCCCTTTGGCATTGCTGATTTTCTTTATTCTTTTGAAGGGAATGAAAAGAGGATATCGGTTCCAATTTTTTAAAAAAATGTTTATTCTTTTTAAGAGAGAGAGTGTGTGAGCAGGGGAGAGAGGCAGAGGGAGAGAATCTTAAGCAGCACCTCACTCAGTGCAGAGCCTGATGCGGGGCTGGATCTCAGGAACCGTGAGATCATGACCTGAGCTGAAATCAAGAGTCAGACGCTTAACTGAATGAGCCACCCAGGTGCACCTGTTCTGATTTTTTTTTAATGTGAATTTTTAATAGATAATTTGGACTGATAGGCAGGACCGCCAGTTTATCAGCACATTCACTGTATAGATGGCATAGCAAAAACCTATTGCCTCAAAGTGTTTCTGTGAAAGCATCATGGGAAATAAAGGACTGTGGCTTTTGTATTAACAGTGTTGTGGTCAAGAAATGGACTATAAGATAGGACCTATCCAAACTACTGCGGTAACTGTAAGCTTATTTTCCTGGAGAAGCTTCCGGCATATACTAAAGAAAGTTAAAATCCATGCTCTCTCCCAACCCCCATAATTTCTAGCTGGATCCAAGATTCTTTCGGTCTGGACACAGTTGAAATCACCAATAGTTTGTGAATAATACTTTCCCACTAATGAGAAAAGCAATGATTAAAATTTTAGATCTGTATTATTTGGCAAAGCCGTAAAAATGAGTACCACATGCAAAGGAAAGGTTTATGAAAAATGAACTATACTTTTAATAATTTTTGTCAAACCCACTAGACAGAGAATCAATATATTATTTCTGCCTCTTTACCTTTTCTCTTAAATCATGTCTATTACATTAAAAATGAAATGGAGATAATTATCTGATAATTTCACGAAACTTCCCAGCTAAGTGAGACAATTTTAAAAATGAAGAAGGAGTGCCTGGGTGGCTCAGTTCGTTAAGTGTCCGACTTTGGCTCAGGTCATGATCTCATGGTCCATTAGTTCCAAATATTAGTAGTATAGAACAGTCTAGCATTTCATTTGCTTCAGTAACTAATCATCATACATCTACTATCAATACATATGAGAAGGAGAATCTGGCTGGCTCAATCGGTAGATCATGTGACTCTTGATCTCAAGGTTGTAAGTTCGAGCTCCACATTGGGGATAGAGCTTTCTTTAAAAAAAAAGTTTTTAAAAGCTAGATCTAGATTTTTATGTTTGAAATACATTATAAATAAACCAACTATGTATAGTATTTTCCAAGTGCCAGGGAACTGTTCTAAGTGCTCTTCTTATTTTATCCTCAAGATGAATGCCAAGAATGAATTCTAATATGCATGTATGATTATTATCTCCCGCTGACAGTTAGGGAAACTGGGGCATGGAGAGGTTAAAAGACCTGCCCAGTGGCACACAGCCAGTAAGCATAGAGCTAGGTTCCAATCTAGACAGCCTGGGTACAGCATCCATGCACTTAAGCATGAGAGTCTACCAATTCTGGCTTTAAAATACAGAAATATTCAGGGACGCCTGGCTCGCTCAGTCAGTTAAGCGTAAGCTTCAGCTCAGGTCATGATCTCACCGGTTCCTTGGTTCAAGCCCTGATTCTGTGTCTCCCTTTCTCTCTCTGCCCCTCCCCTGCTCATGCTCTGTCTTTCTCCCTCTCAAAAAATAAGTAAACATTAGGGGCGCCTGGGTGGCTCAGTCGGTTAAGCGCCTGACTTCGGCTCAGGTCATGATCTCACAGTTTGTGGGTTCGAGCCCCGTGTTGGGTTCTGTGCTGACAGCTCAGAGCCTGGAGCCTGTTTTGGATTCTGTGTCTCCCTCTCTCTCTGACCCTCCTCTGCTCATGCTGTCTCTCTATCTCTCAGAAATAAATAAAAAAACATTAAAAAAAAGTTAAAAAAAATAAGTAAACATTAAAAAAGAATGCAATGGAGATAATTATCTGAATAATTTCACAAAACTTTCCAACCAAGTGAGACAATTTTAAAAACGAAGAAGAGGCGAGTGGGTGGCTCAATTAAGCATTCACTCTCTGTTTCAGCTAAGGTCATGATCTCACAGCAGGCTTGGGATTGTCTCTCTCCCTCTCTCTCTGCCCCTCCTCCACTCATGCTCCTGTGTGCACGCGTGCTCCCTCTCTCTCAAAATAAATAAAGAAAAAATTAAAATGATGAAAAGAAGACACAATAGTCTAAAATACCTTTCTCAATTTTCTTAATTTGTGAGCAGACCCAGCTTTAGCAGTAAACTATGCAAGCAGTTCTCTGTGAACAATGTTTTAGACCCAATAGTATTTTGGACACTGCTATTGGCCTGCTAACCTGACAACTGGCTCTTAGTTAACAGTTTTGAACGGGAATGATACTTTTTTGTGAGTAAGAAATACAAACTTGAAACTGGTTGGAAGGGTTCAACTCTACTATAAATCAATTTTAGGGGCGCCTGGGTGGCTTAGTCGGTTAAGCGTCCGACTTTCGCTTAGGTCATGATCTCGCAGTTCGTGGGTTCGAGCCCCGCGTCGGGCTCTGTGCTGACTGCCAGCTCAGAGCCTGGAGCCTGTTTCAGTCTGTGACTCCCTCTCTCTCTGACCCTCCCCTGCTCACGCTGTCTCTCTCTCTCTCCTAGAAATAAATAAAACATTAAAAAAAATATATAAATCAGTTTTAAAGTGTGACTTCAATGGCTTTGAAAATTTGGTCTCATAGTTTTCTTGCTTTCCATGACACTTGGTTTGGCGTTCTCTTTTAACTCGTTTTCTGGTGTTGCAATCTTCCATTTATTGAGATAATTTCTCTAACTTGCTGGATTAAAAAAAAAAACAAACAACACAACTCTGACCCACTGGGTTTTTCGTGTTTAACCACTCAGTCGCCATCTTTCTAAAATACAGTTGTTCCAAAAAATTAAGGTCATGTACAAGTGTGTTGATGGGAATCCTGTGTGTTGCCTGTTCTGTTGGTCTGAGGCTGGAAGCACATTATCTGAAAGCACTGGACTCATGCTACCTGGAACGTCTATAAATCAATGTGCTCCATCTTGCCTTGTCTGGTAAGACAGGTGGATCCCATTTGCACAGATATTCTTCCTCTCCCTCCCTCTCTTTTTTCCTGTCTAAGAAGGAAATAAAATATATAGGCCCATTAATCTGCTCGAGTCAGCCTCTTTGATAGGGCACATTCTTGGCAAAGGTAAAGTTCAGTTGCATATGGTATACAAAATGCTCAGGGCTTTTCACTTTCAGCAATTATAAAGACCTACGTACTAATGAAGCTATAAGAATTGTTTATCTTAGGTAATCCTGAAATTTAAGAAAAGATAAAGTATGTTTCTAAAATTACTCCAGTGGGCTTAATTTGGGTTTAAACACTGGGCATAGATAGAAGGCCCAAGATGATCTAAGTAATGATTACCTAAGTAATTGCAAAGATTTAGAGAACAACACATACTTTTTATTTTTGTAAGGGAGCGTTTTGCATAAAAGCCGTTTGATAGCCATCACTGGAGTAAAACACTGAGATTCCATTCAGAATGTTTAATATTTACGGGTTATTTTAAAGTATTTTCAGGAGAAGACACCAAAAAAAAAAAAAAAAAAAAAACCCAAAACCCAACCCCCAAAAGAAAAAGAGGCAAAGTTAATGAACCGTGGAAATAGCCATTTATTTCATTAAAAAATATTAACACAGAGCCAGACGTCAAGACTGAGTTTTAAAACAAATGTGGTGTCTGCATAGACACATGCTTAGCATGCAAATTAATATTCCTTTTTGAATTAGTTTTTCTCATCAACGGTTTCTCATCATCTCTCTTTTTTAGAAGTTAAACTGTATGCCTGATGACTGAAGTGAGCAAAAGAGATTGGATCTAAAGATATTTACAAGAAAGAACAGTTTCTAAAATTATTGTAAGCAGGAGGATTAATACTGGATGAAGGGGTGATGATGTACCTCCTTGCAATTTGCTCTAACTGAATAGGCACAGAACAGCAGCAGCAGAAAGGACACTCATTTTGGTATTCACAGATGTAAAACCTGTGTGCGATGTTCTTCGCTCACAGTAACAGGTGCATAAAATACAAATGAAGGTTTATCATCATATGTGAAGGTAGCATCATAAAATGAAATAAGACTCATTATATGTTCTTTATAAGCACTTCCTGGATTTTTTCCCTCCCAAACTCAGAATTTTTGGGTCCACTTCTAAAAGTTCGTTTAAAGATGACTGGTACAGCTTGGTGTGAATTCACAGCTGTTGAACATCCCAGCGCTTCCAAGGAATTCTGCTA